ATTATTATTGTCATTAATCTTATTATCATCATAATTATCAGTATCATTACTATAACCCAATCCTCCCTGTCTTCCAATAGGTAGTCTAGACGACGTGGACAGCAACAGCGGGCTGGGAGGGCCCCGGATGGGTGGAGACGGCTACGCCATAGAGTCGGACCTCTCTCTGGGGCCCCTGGCTCCGGTGTCACACGGTGGGCCCAACGACGGCCCTGGTCTCGACTCCTGGTCCCCCTACAGTGGACCCCTGGGACCTAACGGACCCCCACCACCGCCCCCTCTCGGCCCGGGCGGCCCCATGACGGGGAACGGCCCGATGGGTCCCAATATGAGCCCGGGCGGGATGCCAGGTGGGCCCCATCACTTCATCGGCAGGCATTCTCCAGGGGCGCCTATTTCCCACTCACAAATGATGCCTCTTGACGCTATGGCGGGAATTCCCAGGTTACTTCCGGCAGGGGAGGATAATTCTCAAAGCTACATGGATTATCCCCCTTCATCGACGCATAATCACGTTGAAGTTTACTGACGTTCGTTGTTTCCTGGATATTAAAGAATGTGTACGTGACAGTTTTTATATATGATGATAAGAAATGTGTTCAACACAAAAAACCATGTTTATATAGACGTTTACAAATCAAAGCATAATATTATAATATAGTGCTCGAACTATACGTTGGAGGCATAAAATGCAGGATATGTGCTTGCATGTTTCGTTCTAAACACTAATTACTGTTTATGTATGTCAAATCTGTGAATATTGTATTTACATGTACAGATACGTTATTTTGCATAATTTTGTTTTCCCAAATCAAAGTGTTGTATAGCCGAAGGCATAATATTAGTCTCTTCATGCATTACCTGTTGCTTTTTCAGTTTGTTTGGCATCTTTTTAGACAACTTTGCTACGTCGACTAGCATAATTTATTGTTTAGACTGTTTTTATACAATTTATTTATTTCAAATTTGTTATTTATATGAAAGGACAGTATGAGATATTGCTATTCTTGAGCATAATACTATCTGCATGGTGGGGAATGTCTTTTGTGTGTGTTTGTATGTGTGTGCATATGTGTGTGTGCTTGTGTGTGTGTGTGAGAGAGAGAGAGAGAGAGAGAGAGAGAGAGAGAGAGAGAGAGAGAGAGAATATGTGTGTAAGTTCGTGTGCAAGTTGTGTATGTGTTTACACTATCCTCTTTACCTGTGTTCACCCTATATTTGGATCTCTCATTCGGTGTTCAAAATTAGCAAAACGGAACAAACAGCTATATAGGTCTTCTTTAATTTTAAAAAAAAATGTTTCTTATAGTTCAGATATTTATAGATTGCCCTAGATTATTATTTTATTCCCATAAGATATCACTAAAATCATTGGGAACACGTGTCTCTTCGCGTCAAACGTGTGGACATGATCGTGAAAATTGACTTTATGTTATGTCATACGCAATTTTACGAAACAAAATTAAATAGTAATGAGCGTAATACCCACTAAAATTTGCTATGAAAGAAATTACAAATGTCCAGCACAATAAATGTCACTGTATATTACTTTTACTTTGGCCTTTCTGTACTTTATTGCTATTATATAGTGACTGTCGAGGGGAGATGCAGTTTTCTATGATAGGTCAACTCTGAAGCCCTTTCAATTGACATGTTGTTGTTGTACTCTAAACTTTAAGTAATCTTTCTATGTTTTGGCTCTTTTTTCTTTCATTGTAGATATCAATTCTTTATTCTCATAAGTTCGCATAATAATTGTAACACATCTCTTTTCTCGTTCTCTTCATCCGTGCTAGGTTTCAAAACACTTCTTAGTTCACTTCTTTGTATGAATTATAGTGAGCGTCATACTTTAAATTCATTAAATATTTTCATAATTTTATTCTTCTAGTTTTTAGCCCGCCTCTTAAACGACATGATAGCGTTGATAGGGGCACTTCTTTTTGTCTTTTGTTCATTTTTTATTTTGTCTTCATTTAAAAATCAATCTTTTTCTTTGAAAAGGGGAAAGGAGAAGGGGAGGATTCGGTGTGGGAGTGCTGTGTGTCTACTATTCAATTGAGTACAGTATAGGCAAATATAACTAGTAACTCACCGGTTGTATTTTTATAACTACACATTTTACATAAGGAGAGAATAGTGGCGCAAACTACGTTAGGGGTTTCTTCAAAACTACCGATGTCTTCATTGATTCTTGTTTGGTATTATT